GTACGCGGTGTAACAGGAACGTTCATAACTGAGCTGTGTACGCGGTGTAACAGGAACGTTCATAACTGAGCTGTGTACGAGGTGTAACATGAGCGCACTTTATTAAAGTTATGATGTACATCTTACACTAACTGGATTGTGGATAACCACTGAACAGTTCATTGGATTTTCTGAAATATTCTCAGGTGAATTATTTTACTCTTTAAAAAAAAGTGATTGTCTTCATGTTATGTTTGATGCCAATGTAATATATATTCTACTTAGTATGTTTTATCATGTTTCAAATATATTCGCCTTAAATATAAATCATAGCTCTAAAATGAAGTTAAGTTTACTTATACAATATAAACCATAGCTCTGTTTATGTTTCATACCTACACGTGATATAAAATTATTGATCAAAAACCTATAGAAATTCTAGTCTAAGACTAGATTGTTTACGTATGCAGTAGGATCAGCTGGTCTAAAAAGTATAAAAATGATGGGAGGAACGTATTCAAATATGTATTTAAACAGTATCTTACCTGAAATAGATACATACATTAAGACAAATTGAGCTTAAGACCATTTCTTTAAAAGTTCCGTTAGGATAACTTTAACATTCCGGATATTTAAACAATATACTTGGGTCTGATCTCCGCGGCGGACACAGCTCAAATAGTCCCTTACTCAACATTACGCTAAAACAACCCACATTTTATGGTGTATTTTGCTATAGCGTTAATAATGTATACTTTATATGTACAGTATAAACATATCAATTACTCTCATGTATGAACGTAACTTGGGGACCACGTTACGTAAAAGGTTTAACTATATAATATATATACATCATTCGCCTTGCTTTTAATAGCATTTGATTTTGAAAGTATGTTTCAAAGGAATACATATTATGGGGATCAATATATAAAAAGATTTTTCAAGGTAGTAACCACTGGAGTTTCATCGTGTTTTGAAGTCAAAACACAACTGTTGAAATCCATGTTCGCAATGAACGTTATACAATTTACGTTCGTTGTGAAGACAATGTTGAATTATCGTTGCCAGTCTTTATTGAACGAACTAGGAAGTTCACAATTGAATGGATAAAACGAACATCTTGAATGTTTGGCTTTATTTTTGTTACTTAGTTTACCATAACACCAGGCTCATGATGTGTTTAGAAAATTATCGATGATTTTGTAATTCTGTTCTAGTTGTAATTGTATTGTAAATGTTTAGCCCTAAACGTGTAAATGATGTTTTTTTGCCCTAAAACAACGTTCGAAAACTTAGAATTTGTTTGTTTTTTAACGTAGATAATTAGTAATTATTCGGGCTGTCATTTAATATTTATTTTGAGTATTTAAATGGTATTTTGAGGAAATGAAATACGTTCGAGCAGTTTGCCTTACAGGATATTCTCTCCTAACTCCTGACAATTGAAATATCATAGTTAAAAAAAGGTTTAACTGACATTCAAAAAATCCCAAATGATAATGTAATTAAGGTGTTGCATATTAGTGATCATACGAAACACGAAAGTGTTTTGATATGTCCATGTTTTTTGTTTTTTGTTTTTATCAATACCTGAAAATACCTCTTGGTTTTGAAAAATAAGAATTTTCAGTAGGTTTTTAGAAATATGAATCATATTGTCAGAGTATAATAAAAAACAAAATATTCGTTATTGCTTTTGAAACAGGTCTTGTTTAAAGAGCTGAAAACTATAGTTCTGGCGATACATTACTTTGTTGTTTTTCTGCCTATATATATTTATCCCTATATATATATTAGTTATAAATAAATGTATCAGTAATGAAATATGTCTTGTTTTGGACTTGTCCAGTGGTTCATGCATGCACCTGGCGTTTACTGATGTTTGTCATTGAATATCGAGACATATATTGCAGAATGTGGTTCCTATCATTGTAAAACTATTGTTGAGGAAAAATATATATACAACCCATTGCACGTGAATTATGTTTTCAAAATGAGATTAGGCCTAATAGAGGTTAAATAAGTAAGGTTGTAAACTCTACTAAAAATACACACACTTCAAAACCACCATAACCAATAAAGACTTGGTCATTTACTAATCAATGGAACATTCTCTGGATGGGGTATAGAAGCTTTCGTTATATTACATCAGCATTAAAGCATTTTTAAATATATTGAAATGTGTATATATTTTAGGAGTTCGACAAAAAGGCAAAGATCCATAATTAATTTGTTTATAGTTATCTTGACTCAATATAGGTTGCTGAGTTTTGAAGGTTACCTCAAGTATTGTAAAACATTTTACTATTATTTATGACAATAAAATCAATAATATAAATATAAACTCTCTTCTCATGGAATATAAATAGTTTAATATATATATATAGAGGTATGCATTATATTAATAAAACAATTCTGGAACGTCACCACGTCATTACAGTCTGTGTTTCCACATTCGATCATGCTCTATCTGACTACCGTGCATCTTTACAATAGCCCTGTAGCATAGTTTACATTACAAAATGCTCCGTCGTAAGGCTATCATGTTTAGAGCACACCAGTCCTCCATGCAGCTTTCTATAATCCATCTAGTGTACGAGGACGACTGTTTCCAAGTGCCTGTTTCAACAGTCCGATCGCCCAGAAATCCTTAGACATTGGGTTTTAGCCACTTGGTTGATATGTCTTCGTATATAATAGTATGAATACCCATTTTATTCTTTAGCTGTTTGAACTATGTGATGGTTTAACTAATATGTTATGGAAGCAGCTTGTATCGCTTCCCCTTCTTGATTGTCCTGGAGCATGTGGACAACTTTTGCCACTGACCTATGTGTTCATGGATTCTCACTTATCATACGACGTCGTACTTTGTTTACCACAGATCAGGTACGACTTGTTGCAGGTTTGTTTCTGGATGATCCTGATGTCCCAAGTTCCTTTGTTTTCCAGTGTCATTATGTATGAGATATATCTCCGACCTTAACCCATCTTTATGATCTCCGTGTATGAATATTTTGTATCAGAAAAGATTGTTACATGCCATTACCAAAAATGATCAATTTTCGAAAGCATCACGCTACTCACAGTGCCAAACAATGTCAAATTGTTGTTCTTATACTTTTTGTCACACGCGACTTTGTATCGGCTGTGGTTGCCACGTAACTTGTTGATTTAAAAAAAAATTGAAAATCGTGTTAATATAGTTGTATGTAGTTGGCCCCAGTGTCCCAGCGGTATGTCTGCGGACTTACAACGCTAGAATCCGGGTTTCGATACCCGTGGTGGGCAGAGCACAGATAGCCCATTGTTTAGCTTTGTACTTAACTTCAAACAAACAAACGTATGTAGTTAACCACCATAAAGCTGCACAATAGGCTATCTCTTACCGCTGTGCCACTGGGGGGGGGGGGGGTTAATATAAAGTACTCAAATCTATATTGTTAAAACTTTATCTCTGGAACAATGTTTTAATGCCAGTTTATACTTCATCAAGCTAATGAACCCAAGAAAGTATAAATACATTATACTGAGTGTTCCAATGTATGTATAAATCAATCTGAGAAACTAAAATAATATTTTGGAATAATTTTTCAAATA